ACGATCGTTGAGCTGAGCTAATCATTCATTTATTAATACTATTGTAATCATAATAATAAGAACGCACCCTTTGAGAAGCTGGCATGTCATATTCATGTTGTCAAAGTGCTCAGAATACCTAACAATCTCCGGGTATTTTGTGTTTTGACTTTAGAATACTTATCGTACTCCAATTCCAGTAGTACGAACAATGATTCCAAGCGTTCACGTATAATTGCTTGGAAATGTCCTATTCGTAAGCTATGCAGCGTGATCTCTTCGGACTGGTTATAAAGCTAATATAGGTTTCTTTTCAGTTATGATAATAAATTATCACTGAAATTTATATCACTAGTCTTTGGTTTACAGATATATGTTTTAGATGTTGATAATCCTGGTCGACTACCACGTAGGCTGAGTACGGGTAAGAGACCAGCCACTTATTGTTGAAATACTCTCCCAGATCGAGATGGGAAATCCTAAAAAGTACCCTCATTGTTTGTCGAGCCTTCTGAAGCCGTCTGAGCTCACAACCTTACCATCCAAACTTCCTGTGGCTATTTTCATTGCTGANNNACTGGAGTTCTATTGACACTTGCGATCGTAAAGCATGCTCATTTGTTACGATCCGTAGAAGAGAAAGACTCCATTGAAGAGCAATGGTATGACTTAGCATCGCTATCATTAAGCCAGTTAAGATGTTTATTCAATTTCTAAGATAATATCAGGCTCGCAATAATTGCAGTTATTTTTCCTCCGAGGCACAAATCACAGACTCTTCTAGGAATATTACAATTATCACACAACTTTCAACATGGAATGTGTAAAATAATTTGGTATAAAATAATTTGATGTCCTCTCACCGAAGATTACTTACTTTCGCTCACATCCTTCTACAAAATCAAAGACGATTTATATCTTTCTGATGCGTTTCCAGGTTTTCTCATTCTTTAAAGACGACCTTATTCTTCTTTGTAGCATTACTGATAATTTTTATATTACATAGTACATATTTCTTTCATTCAATTGATGAATGCCATACTACCAAACAAACGGAAAAAGTATTCTCGCCAAAATACGCTTTTNATATTTCTTTCATTCAATTGATGAATGCCATACTACCAAACAAACGGATGAAGTATTCTCGCCAAAGTACGCTTTTGATAATAAATGTAATTTGTATATGAGATTTTTGAGTATATGCACACATCAGCATACTGAATCTACTCATTGCATAGTAATTTTGGGCGTCGGAAAAGCTGAAATTCGAGAGGACTCAGTCACTGAAAAGATCATCAATCGAAGTTTCTGAGGTCAAAAGAAATGTTACTGATAAGTGCTCAAGGATTGATTTCTCATCCTGTAACTAAGAGTGAACATTTTCGAGAACACAATTTCAATGGCAAGCGTCTATTCCTGCCTACAGTTCCCTGATATCCATCATCGAAAATTTCCAAAAGATTTCATTGAGTAAAAGATCGAATTACATCCCAAAAGTTCCTTTTCTTCTGACATATTACGGGATTCCAATTACGGTGTGTGCATTCACAACGCAGAAGATCTAAATCAATCGTTTCGTATTTATGTCTGAGGTTCTTTTCAAATGAACAATGAAACTATAACATATGGGCCAATGTCGAAGTCCTTTCTTCTTTCGAAAGATGGCCGTCATCCAGTCGAAACCAATCAAAATGACATGAGTCTTGGATGAGGGACAATAAGATCTCCTGTTGTCGTACGGCGATGTCGGTAATCCGGACGTGGTTTCGTCCACGATGCGGGCTCAGCTTCGGCAGTAAATAGGAAAACCGCTGTACATATGACCACCGATCCAAAAATTGAAAGCAATATGATTTGCCTGGAATCTTGCGATCGATCATGAAAGCGCAATTAGTC